TAAAGCCACAAGTCTAATTATTTTTTTTTATGTTTGACCCTTTTCTTTTAAACTTCTATTTTATTGGAGATATACTATAATATCATATTAGAATTTTGGCATGTGAGCCGACTTCAACGAGAAAAATTATCTCAAATAATTTTAGATTTGAAGCCTTATCACTTACACAACCTTTATTTACTGTCAATCCACCAACATAAGACACTTCCGATTCAGAAAATCCTTGTTTACTTGGCTGTGTTATAGAGGTTTGAATTGGTGACATTTTGAGTTGGGAACTGGATGATTCCATCGTCATCACATAAAAACACGCATGAAAACTACAGAGCTCGGCTGAAGAGGGCATCACTCCCATTGTAGGCTAAGCGCAATAGACAGTTAACCATAGATAAAGACCATATTCGTGTATTTTCGAAGGCATTATTAATAAAGTTTGTACGTAAAATTTTTTCTCGTGCTTCCCTTTTCATGTTTAAGAAATGCTTTTGTTTTTCTTAACTAGCCCTCTTTTAATTCACAGCATATTTATATTTACATTTAAATAAATATAAATATATGTTTCTTTTAATTTTATTAGTTATATTTTTTACATTAAATTTATATTTTAGATACATAGTTAGCAACACCCTCCCTCTCTATATATAATAGGATCTTCTCGTACTAGTATAAATTTGAAAATTCTTACTTTTAATATGAGCCTTTCATTTAACTTATATCTAATAGATATCGAAAGTGTAAGAGTTTTTAAACTTACACTAATCTAAGAAAATCTTGCTTTTATATATATACATATACATATATATTATATATAAAGGAGAATTCTAATGAAAATTTATAATTTTAAATTCAGTAAATTTAAATATAAATGTAGAAAATCTTTACTAAAAGCACAATAATTTTTTTTAATCTTTTTTTGTCTAAAGCTACAACAAGTCTTAGTGGTGTAGGGTTATATGAGTATAATTTGTTGACATTTTATTCAAAAGATATAGAAGAATATAATAGTCGGTGATTATGATAAAATTTTTGACAACTTGTAAAAAAAATTATAATAATCAAATATATGAAATTAGTTACATATAATTCTACAAATCTATTTCTATGAAACTAAATGATGGTGATAAGATCAGAGTATATAAAATCATGTCTTGTCTTCTTCGCTCTTTTTCTCATATCTCCCGTAGATCTAACTTTAGTTTATTCTCCTCCAACTCTAAATGAAATCTAAATTTGCTCAGTAAGTAATAAAATCAAACACTAGATATAACTTGAAAGCATAATCTCTATGACGAAGAGGTATGCTTTGAGGATATAAATCAAAATATGAATGACTAAATAATTTTAAAAATTTCTTAAGATGCATTATATGTTCCTCAAGAATAATTTAAATAGAAAAATAATTATAAATGTATAATCAAAATTGTAGAAATAATTTATCCAAGATTTGTTGTTTGAAGCTATTAATTCTATTCTTGACCTCTAAAAAAAAGAAGTTTTCTAAACAAATTCAAAGAAGTTTTAGAAAACAAATAAAAATCAAAATATCTTATTATTACCAAGAAGTTTGATCTTAACCCAATCCTTAGGAAATTTGAGAACAATCCTACAAAACCAACATCCATTCAAGATCTTTAAATTGAGATTTATAATCTCAATAAAGAGATTAAAGAATAACAACAAATTCACTAAATTATTCTTTCTTAAATTGATATTTTTTTTCAAAAACTAAATCTTCAATAGATTAGGTATCCTATTCCTAATAAGAAGAATTTTCTTAACAGATTAAATTATGCATATTTTCTAAATTTAATATGAAATCAGGATATTGGCAAATCCAGATCAATAAAGCAAATAGGTATAAAATTTCCTTTACTATTTCCTTTGAATAATACAAATGGAATGTGGTGTCTTTTGGTTTGAAAAATGCTCCTTCTAAATTTTAGAAAATTATGAATGATATCCTTAATCCTTATTCCAAATCCATAGTCTACGTAGATGATGTTTTAATTTTTTCCTAATCTATTGATCAACATTTTAAGCATATCAATATTTTTTATCAATATTGCTAGAAAAAATGATCTTGCAATATCCAAATAAAAAATTAGTCCTTTTTGCAAAAATATATTTCCTTGGACATAATATCCATCAACAAACAATTATTCTTATTAGGAGATTCATTAAATTTGCTAACAAATTTCCAAACCAAATTATTGACAGAATCCAATTACAAATATTTCTTGGTTGTCTCAATTATACATGTGACTTTATCCTATATCTTAACAATATAATTAAGCATTTGCGTGACTTAGAAAAAATGCTCCACCTTGGTTTGATATCCATAATAATATTGTAAAAGAAATTAAGCTTAATGTCCAAACAATTAAATGTATATATCTTCATGTTCTTCAAACTTTTAAAATTGTTGAAATAGACTTACATGACATTAGTTATGGTGGTATTTTGAAACAAAAAAATAATTCCTAAAAGCATGCTATTACATAAACATCAAAACATTAGAATTTTGTACAATAAAATTATTCTACTTAAAAAAAAAGTTTGAAAAATTGTTTTACGTGTTCCAAATTTCAATATGATTTACTCAATAAAAAAGTTCTCATTATAGTTGATTGCAAATTAATAAGAGAAATTTTACAAAAAGATGTAACAAAATTTGCATCAAAGCAAATTTTTGCTAGATGACAAGTAATTTTAAGTATTTTTTTACTTTGAAATTAAATATTTCAATGACACTTCTGATTCTCTTCCTAACTATCTTGCTTTCGAATACTTACAAGATAAATAATATGCCGAAAAAAAAAATTTTAGCCCCCTCTCGAGGTGGTAAAAGTAAAGGAGTTAGATTAGCTCTAACTTTACCAAGTCCATCAAAAGTAAGATAAGAGTCATCTACTCCGACAGGTCATCCACCCAGAAATTAACTCAGCAAGTAGAGTCATCAATTCAACTTGCTTGAATACTTCCAAAGCTGAGTCATCCACTCAAAATTAATATTAGCTAAGGCACCAACCTAGCATATAGCCAAGCAATCTAAAGTAAATTATACTTTTTCAATCCAAACTCTAATCACTCTTCAAGAAAGAAGTCTTATTCAACTTCCACACAGAAAACTAGAACCAATATTACTTTTGCATCATATGAAGATTCAGGATCATATCTTATCAACCTTAAAACTCTTATTCAAACAATAAAAAGATACAAAACAGTTGGTAACATGCCAAAAAAAAACACAAATTTCTTTCAATAAAACTCAAACGCATTATATTCTAAAAAACTAATTTTCTTTAGTTATCCAAATGAAACCCAATTTTTGGATAAAAATCCTTGCAAGACAATTTCAAAAGTCTTCCTACCAAGGATTCTATTTCAAACCAACAACCATCAATAAAACTCAACAGTTTTGTGAATTATTTAAGCATATTCTAACTTTGTCTCCATAAAACATTACAAGGACCAAAAAAGATCTTGCAATCAATACCAATTCTACAATCCAATTATCAAAGTTTTAGCACTAAAGAATTTTAGAAAAAATTCAAATGATTTGAGAAAGTTTTTCTAGCCTTTTAATCTAATTGATTATAACTATTGAGATTATATAGATGCATGGACCGGAGTTTTTGGAGATCAAGATAAGATTAATTGATATTTTTGGTTAATTTATTTTAAGAAAATTATAACCTTTCAAATTGATTCATCCAATGGTGAGATTATTTTAGACCAATTGAAGCAATTTTCCCTCTACCATAAAATAAGATTTGGTCAGTTCCAAGTATGCAAGAATCAAGAATCCTTCCTAATTTTAAGTATTTCTCAACTTTCTCCTCTGCTTGGATATTTTCCTGGCAATCCAAGTATGGAAAGCAAGAAAATCAGAAGACTTCCAATGTTCCAGAGGCACACCTTTATTAAATGGTGGAACCAATTTGATACTTTGAAGGTAGAGTTAGATGATGTAAAAACATGGTTTGTCTCGAATCCTTAATTTCTGAAGATAGTAGATCCAAGTACATCTCTATTTCTTAACCAAAAAGCTTATCTCACAAATTTCCTATCAAGATGCAATTCAAAAAAAATCTAAAACAAAATTTAAATGATATACTTTAATTATTAGAAAAGAAGAGGCAAAATCTTCACAAATTTCTCCTGATGAGTTTTACCAAAATGAAGATAATTGTTTTATATTGTAGATACAGTTCTAGTGAACATGAGTTAAATTGTAGAAATAATACTTTTTCAACTCGTTATAAGAAGACATCAACTATGTTGTGAGATATCTTTTCATTTTTTTTATCTTAAAAAGAGAATCTAGTGAGAGAGGCTCTGTTTTCTTGTTTTCAATAAAATTTCTTTTTTATACTTTATTTTCTTCATTCTTCTTCTAACTGATTCAGTATAGACTATTATTATCCTAATTTTTATCTTTATTCTTTCACTAGTCATGAGTTAGTTTTATCATCACTCTAGTGTTATATATTTTAATAGTTTCCTTTACTTTCTTACATATATTTAATTTTAATAGTCCTTATACTATTTACTTCTCTTGTCAATTTTCTTTTAATTCTTTAACCATAACCTTTTAAAAATTTTAATTAATTATTAATATAAGATGATTTACAAAATTTTATGAGATTATATTATTCTTTTACATATTTACTCTTCGTACCTTTTAACTTTTTAACAATCAATATAATAGATAATATATTATAAAATTTAATACATTAATAACATTAATATTATAATTTTTAATAAAAGTTTATCATTTACATTTTTTTATTTTGTATTCTTAGACCTACATTAGAAAAATTATGTAATAAAGAGTTTGACTTTAATTAAGGGTAAATATGATATGTTGTAATAAAATTTTCAAAATATAATATATTAACTATTTTTAACAATTTTTTAAAATTTGTTTGGGATGTGATCTCATCCATCCATACGAAAGATAAAGACCATCCAAAATTTCAAAATCGTTTTCATCAACCATGGAGTCCCGAATCCCAGAAAACTCAAACAGCAAGATTGGTCACAATTTGCTTCCTTCTATGCCATCATGTACCAACCGTTCCTGTTTCTTCTGCATCTTGTCTGAAACTGTCCCTTCAGTAAGAAGAGCTAAAATTGCCCAATACTTCAAACAAATGCCCCGCAAAGAAGACCAAGAACACATCCTTGTTTTAAGTGGCCTCTGGAAAATCGCCATGACTAAACCAAACAACCCAGAATTTCCTTTCCTTGGCATCTTCACATGCATGGCCAAACTCATTAGAAAAGGTGTCAGTGATAGAATATGGCTTCTTAGGCACCAGAACATATATATACCATATTATGCAGCACATATCATTGGTTCTTATACCATGAACAAAACTAAGTTTGCAAAGAAAGCTGTAAAGTCCTTAGTGGTTGAGCCACTGGTGAAACTGCTTCAAGGTAAGATAACTTGGATTGAACAAAGAGTTGCACTTCGAGCACTGGGTCATCTAGCCAGTCATAAAGCAACTTTTGAAGCCGTTAAGGAATATGAATCAGAAATCATAGAAGCAGCTATGAACATAACTTCCACGTGCCTAAACAAGGTATATGAAAACTTTGTTGGCGTGAAGGAGTCGCAAAGATTGGAGTACCATAGAAACCTGCTAACAAGAGGGTTTGGAGGCTTGGAATTAGAAAACAGAAAAGCAGAAGAATGGGCTAGCCAGCTTCAGTGTTGGTCACTCTATCTCTTGCACTGCTTTGCATGCAGAGAAAGATCTCTAAGATTAATCTGCAAGAAGCAATTCTTGAAGGATTTGTGTGGAATGTGGGGAGGACTATCAAATCCATGTTCACCAGCAGGAATAGGCCTTCTAAAAACACTTTGTCACACCCAAATGGGAAGAGAAAGCATAGCAGATTTGCAAGAAGTCATAGAGTGTTTCTGTAATGTGTCAAGATCCTCAGATGAAAGACAACACATGGCCATTGAAAGTCTTTTGCAACTTCTGAGAGACCCAGTTACAAGAAACAAAGTTATAGACACAGCAGCACCAGTTCTTGCTGATTTGGTTGAACTCGGAGTCATCAAAGGGAAAAAACATGAAGTTGGAAAAGCAATCATGCAGGTTCTGTTACAGGATTACCAAACAATCAAGTTTTGCAATTTGGGTTTGAAATACAGCGAAAGAACAAGGAAAACACTAGAAGAATTATGGAGTTTGAAGGTAGAGAGAGTTAAGAGAGAAAAACTGATGAGTGAACAAGAAATCAGAGAAAGAAAAGCCTTGTTGGGTGTTCGGAAGCATGAAGGAAATAAGATATTTTTGTCTGGGGAGATTGAAAAGGCTGTGATGAAATACTCTGAGGCTTTGGATTCGTGTCCTTTAAAACTTAAGAAAGAGAGAATAGTGCTTCACAGCAATAGAGCTCAGTGTTATTTGCTTCTTAGAGATGCAGAAGGTGCCATCAGTGATGCCACTCGAGCTCTGTGTCTTTCCAGTGTGGCGCGTCCTCACAGTAAGAGTTTGTGGAGAAGATCACAGGCTTATGACATGAAAGGGCTTGCTAAGGAGAGTTTAATGGATTGTTTAACTTTCATTAGTACCCGCTTCAGTTCTTGGCAAACAAAGGGATTCAAGATCCCTTACTATGCAGCACGAATAGTTAACACGCAGATGAACGCCACGTGGCTCTTTGCCTCAGCCAAGTCAAAATTGTGTAGCAAACATGAAGAAATGAAAGAATTCGTGATGTGTCAAAATGGAATTGACGTTATGAATTTGAGGAAGAAAATGAAAGGTGAGTTACACACTGTTTGAACCTTGAAGTAACTTAAAGTTTATCTTGTCCTCTTTCTTTTTTAATTTTTTTGTTGAGTCTATTTTTATTTCCACGTGGGACGTTTATAGTGAAATCCATGGGTACACTTATTAGAGACAGAACCAAACATTGAATTGGTGAATGGAGGATCCTAAGTTTTTTAACCCTTTTCATGCTTGCATAACAGGTAAGAGTTACATTGTAGAAGAATCTTTCAGTGGGAGAAGAGCACACGAGAGAAGAAAGTATGGAAGGACAAGTAGAAATAGAAAAATGTTAGTATAAATTTGCAAAGCGTTGAAAGGGGTAAGGCATGGAGTGATTTGTTAGCCAGCGTACGAGAAGAACACAGTAAACGTTTGCCTTCGTTACAAACATAAACGAAGGTGAGAAAAAGAGGAAATCAAATGGAAATTGAGATAGAGATAACTAACTATGTGGATGTTTTTAAATACTTTTCTATTTTTAAAAATATAATATAATAATCAAATATGCTCTAACTTTTTCAGTATTTTAAATACTTTCATAGCAGCAATGGTATTTACTAGGAAATTTGAACAACCACTGTGAAGTGAAAAATGAAATTGCTATACGAGTTTAATACATAATATTTATGTATAATGCTACTTAGATTCGCATGAGGGTTAGAAAATAATTTGTGATATTGGCACCTTTGTTTTAGTGTAAAATGGACGGAGAGAAGAGAGATAAGAAAACTACAGAAAAATAAGAGATGTAATTAGTGATATGATTAAAATATATATATATATATATATATATATATGATAAAAATGAACAGAAAGCAGACGTGGAAAATATAAGAATTGATTTGTTTTTTCAGAGATACTTGTGACTGAAATGCTAGAATTACGAAAGGAGATAATAAATACACACACCGGCACGCACAGAAAAAGCAAAAAAAGGCATATGATTAATGAGTTGTGTAATTAATTATAATGTACCGTTATTTGTTCAAAGTTGTGTTCTTTTTAACTGCGACCGTATCTTCCATTTAAACTTAAGTGATGTTTTAGTAATTTTTTTTTTATATTAAGTGACATTTTAAGATTTTTAGTTTTATGTGACTTAAATGTTTTCAACAAATTAGAACAAATAATAAAGATAATTTGATAAAATTATTTTACTAAATAAAATAATTATCATGTTCCTTAATCCTTGTAAAAAGCTTTAAGATTTTATTTCAAAGCTAAGTAAAAATAAAATAAAATAATGTAATATTTAATTATGAAAGTTTTTAAGCAAGAGAAAGTTTATAAACCTTAAAAATAACCATTCTAGTCTCATATTTTTTAAAGTTTTTTCAGCTTAAAAAGATTTATATTAACCTTTCTTTTTCTTTCATTTTCCCTTTAAATTCTTTACTTATCTCTTTCTAAACTCCTACCTAAGGCATAAACGTCAATTAACGGAAAGAGTATTTGACTATTTGACAAAGAAAAGTATCTGAATTCCTTTTTAACCGTGTCTTGCACAAATTCTATTACAAACGTTTTACCGACCGCATACATATAATTGTTCTTATGAAAACGCATTCAATTTTAAAACATCTCATATTCGTGAAAGAATACTTGTGAAAATTCAAGTTAATATTCTGTAATACTATATTTGAGAGTTAAGTTTATAAGATAAGGAGAGGAAAGAAAAAAAATTAAAAAAAAATTAATTTTATTTAAAAGTTAGTTAATTAGAAAGAAAAAGTTTTAAATTTATTTGTTGAGTTTTTTTATTTTAAAAGTTTTCTCTTTTCTATTTTTTTATATTATTTTATAAATAAGATTTTAATTTTTTTAAAAGAAATATTAATTTTTCAATTGATATTTTTTTTAAAAATTAATAAAAATAAAAATATTAATTTTAAAATTATTTATATAATTAAACTTCATGTCATCTTTCTTTTTTAATATTAAACATTTAAATAAAACAGATTTTTAACTTCTTTTCCTTTCTTTCTATTTTCTTTTTCTCTTCCTTCCTTTAAACTTTTTTTTTCTCCTCTTCCAATAAAATAAATTTATCGGTTAATTTTTAACCAATTCTTGCATTGGGAAATCTACTAATTTTACAATTCATGGACGTAAATTGCATCTGAGAAGATTGGTGCCCATCTTCTTCCCTTCCAAGACTATGTTATGCTATGGACCTGCGTCGAGATATACCAAACATCAATTGATAGATGAATTTATGAACTTTATTAGGTACCCATAGGCCATAGCACCGAATCTGATGCCACTGAAGAATTAAATATTCAGTGAATAATAATAATAATAAAGCAATTTCGTGACAGTTGGAACATGCACTGCACTCACTCATGGCTCGAACCTCCGCTGTATCAGCACTAAGGGCTAACTCTACTGTAACTTAAAAATATTTATTGACACTCTTCTTCATATAAATTTATATAAAATATTTTTTATTAATTAATTAAATTAGTGATAATAATATTTAAATTAAAAATTAAATAAAAAGTGACGATTGATATATAAGAATGAGAATGAATGCTTTTAATAGCAAAGGTACAAATATATTTTGAAGAGAATATGTAATCAGTTCATGTGGCGTTAAAAAGAAAGATAAACCAATATTTTTATAATAACTAAGAAGATATTTTTAAAGTTATATGACTAACAAGTGAAAAGATACTTTCGGTCAGATTAACTAATTAATCTAATTATAAATGTAAATCTTTGATTCGCTGTTAGGGACGCAAAAACTTTAACAAGAGACAAAAAATAATTAACCAAGTACACTCTAATAAGCATTTCTTTTCCTAAATTTTTCAACATTTACTAATCACGTTATGTCCCAACTAATCCTAATTAAACCCGATAAATTTATTTAAAAGGCTTCAATATATATTTTTTATATTCTGAAAGACTGAAACTCGAAGGATGATAACTTTTAAAAGAAACTAAACATATTTAGGAGAAGGTTAAAACAAGATTTGCGATGTTTTAAGCATAAAATATTCCCCCATAAATATTATTTAATGACCTATTGCAAAATCCACGGATCTTTAGCAATAAAGTTTGAATTATGCGCTATATCCGACCAAACTGCTTTGGTTTTTTCTGCGCACTGGACAATAAAATATTTATAAAAGAAAGGGTGAATATCTCAATCATGGATGTACACCTAACCATGAGGTGTTACCAGAATAAGGGCGAAGAATAAATAAAGCACATTTTCTAACATGACACACGATAATAATCAATAAATAATAAAATTTTATTAAAAATTACAACATTTATGTGATTTTCGATACATTAAATTTTGTGATTTCAAAAAAAAGTTTAATGTATATAAGTTATTTAGTATATTTTAAGCCACACATTAAAAAATTATAAATAAAAAAATATAAAAAATTATGATAAAATTAATTGCCGCTGCAAACAATTTAATAAGCAAAATACAACAAAAAATATAGGTCTATTATTTTATAATAAACTTTCACTTTAGTTCTAAAAATATACAGTTTCATTCATATCAATTCTCTAAATTTTAAATTTAAATTTTTAATTCTTAAAATTAATAATCGTCAATCACGTTAGCCTTTATGTTAAAATTAAGTAACAGAGTAATGATATAACAGTCTATTTTTAATATAAAATAGTATTATTTTATAATATTTTAAAAATAGTTTATCTTTTTCTTTTGATTTTAACATTTTCAAGTAATAAAATCTCTTTTCATCTTTTACTTTACCTTCATATTGTGTCTTCTTCCTTCCTTCAAATAATGGTGTAATAACATTTACGCTTTAAAATTTTTTATTTTAAATTTTTTTAGTTGAATCACTAGATTTAAGTTTTAAATCTGTTAGTAAAAAAATAATTATAATTAATTCAATGAAAAGATTTTAGATATGTTATTTTAAGACTTTTTATTCTTCTAATGTCCTAAAAGTTGTCACTTATAAATTTTTTATATCCTCTTACAATAATTTTTTTTTAGTTCAAAACTTCTTTGAAGCTAATAAAAAAGAAATTGTTATAGTTTCTCTAAAATATATTAGAAATATTAGTTTCATCATTTTTAAATTTAACAGTTCATTGCAGCAACAACAAGAGAAAAAAAAAATAGAAGACAATAAAAGACCTTATTACTCAAAAATATTAAAAGTCTATGATAAACTATTTTTAAAATTTTTTTAAATATTTTATGTCAAAAATAGATTATCACATCATTTAACGTACAAATTATCAACTCTGTTATCTAATTTTAACATCTCTTAGTGATAAAAACTAATATGAGTGACGATTGTTAATTTTAAAAATTAAAATTTTAAATTTTAAAATTTGAAGAATGAATTTAATCAAATTACATATTTCAGAAACTAGTGTGTAAATTTATTCCATTATCTCAATTTAGAGCAAGGCAAAGACCAGTAAGACAACCCGTGATAGTTGAAAAATGGGGAAAAGAGAAATGGTAATTTTTCAACCAATGCCATAACTTAAATTATTGTACTGAGATATGGTTACAATGAAACAAGCCCGTCACAGTTAATATGCAATTGATTCACCTGGTCAATTTTACATTAGTTCAATCATCAGAAAAGCTCAAAGCAGCAACAACCGATCCTGTTGTTGCAAAAGTTGATGCGATATCAGGATAATCTTTCCACGAGGTTGTCACCTTCAGAGATGGGTACAGCCACGTTTTTACCGAATCCACAAAGGAGTTTCGATCTAAGCTCAAAATGGCTTCCCAATCTACTTGTAAACCCTGTGGTATGCTTCCTGTGAACTCCATATTGGCAGCAAGTAACAAGCCCAACATAACAATAAATCCAACTGCAGCGGATCCCCTAGACAGTGGCATAAAGTTATACCTAATAAAAAGCAGTTCCGTCAGATTTACAGAAATGATTTACAAATGATCAAAATCAAATGTAATTTACACATTTTGAAAATGTCATACCAGTAATACGTCATCCTTAAAATTGCATCTCGCACATTTTCAAGCACGTTGAAATCAGTAGACCCATAATTTTCACCACAGTAAGCATTGCAGAGAGTCTGACATGTAACAGTTCCAAGATGTATACAAGATAAAATGTTTCAATTCATCTAGTAACTTGAGCTATAAGAAATACACAAGCATATTTTCAAATGAAACTTCAAGAAGAATAAAATATCTTTTAGCAATTTTCTAAAACCGAGAATGGCTAAAGAAGTATTAATGATGATTAAATTTAAATAATTGATGCAGATGGGATGAGATCATTGGTAAAGATGATAAAGAAACATTCTTTAGGAACAAGCCACAAAAGGGTCATACACGGGGGTATATATATCACTATCAGCTAATTAACATACAAAAAGAAGTTCGGTATGAGAAACATACTTCCCATGCCACTGCCATTTCTGTGTCAAAATCTTCCCATCTAGCAGGTGTACATGGTGTTCTGATTGCAAAGTCAAAACCATGCTCCCCCCTGAAAAACATGCTCAGTTCCCCAATAACATATACAAGCGTGAAAAGTAAAATTTTACAGCCAAGAAAAGAAAATTGTGGAAGACAATAATTTGAAATTTTCATATCTAGCTTACATTTTTACAAGGGTTATCCTAGTCCCTTCAAGCTGCTTCCTGAAAAACATTAACATCCAGAAAGTAAGCATTAAAGAAATTATGTTTCCAGACAATGTTAGCACCAAGGACACTTACTCTTCAAATGCAGTACTGTTGCACCAGGTAGCCAACCAAAAATCCTCACCAACAACTCTATAAAGATCAGAGCACGATTTTGCATGCATAATCTGCACATCAAACATTATAAAGTTTCTGTTTTCATAAAAAGGATACTACACTTCAAGCTATGCAAAATATAAAACAAAAAAACATGTAAAATCAACCGGAGACTATTATTAGAATTTGATATCATTCAAAAGCATGAGAAAAGAACCTAGAAGCATTTTATTGTCAAAAAACTAATTGAAAAAATAGAAAGCTGGAACTTTGGTTTCAATTATATTTAGAAGGGATATCCTATGTCTATGAGCTATTAAAACACCAAAACCAATCAATAAGAGAAACCAAATATTCCTTGTTCGAGATCACCTTTGATTTGACACATAAGAAACAGTCTATCATGCAAATTGTAAATTATCAAAATTTAGCATTGTTAAAATGTCCCATGTAGGGTAGGAATAGAGTTAAAATACTCTTTATAAGGACTACGATAATTTTTTTTCAATAAATTAACTTTTGGAAGTGAGTTAGACCTAAGAGAGAGGGAGTGTTAAGATGTTCTATATTGGTTAGGAATAGAGACAGAATACTCCTTATAAGAGTTAGGATAGTCCTCCTCCTATGAGCTAGCTTTTAAGAATGAGTTAGGCTCAAGTTTCTTCCATAAAATTTGAATTGGGAACTAAACGGAAGAGGCTTTTTGCATGTAAACTAAGCAATGTTACAAGAAAAAGGCATAATATATCTAAATCAACAACTCACCTCTTCTAATTTCCCATCTTTGGAAAGATGAATGATCTCATCTGTTTTGCTCCGGACAAATGATCTTTCTTTCATGACAGTTTTCAAAATATCTAATGTCCTGTGACATTTAAAAATTATAATCACTTTCAAAAACAGTCTACTACTACACAACCAAACCTATTGTCATACTCTAACTAGGTAAAAACATGCTCTTTACCTTTCATAATTAGGAAAATAACGGACAACTTTAGCTTGCCCAAGAATCATAGGGGTGTGAGAACCAAATCCAGAATTGAACTCTTCACTGCAGTGCAAAGAAACCAATTCAAAACCCAACACAAGATCTTAATGTGGTCCAACTCTGGAATAATAATCAGAGGAAAAACCAGGTACATTATATTGCTAAGAGGCTAGCAATCAATAAAAGCAAAAACTTATCCAACCTAGACCAATATAACTCTGAGCCTATTGTAACAAATAATGTAAAGTATATATGTCAGAATAAAAGAAAACGATTGCATAATTTGAATAAATGTAAAATCAATCTTAGCAAAATAATTCATACAGAATTGAAAGCATAAAAAGCTGATAATAATATCAAGGCTGGATAAACCTACTCACTCTAGCTCCACTGAGAATTCATTTTCCTTGTTTCAATGATAAAACTTGAGGCATTTAAGTTTTCTAAGGGCAGTTCTATGATTCTATCCCTCTTTAATTATATAATAAATAGACTGCCATTTCTGTTGAAGTCTAAACAAAGGACATCAACTTAGGACTAACATAATTCCATGCAATCCTTCTATCAAACAGATCTAAAATCTCACAGAAAGTAGTAGTAGTAATAACTAAAAGCATATGCAAAAGGACAAAGCTGACATATGTGCACAAAAATGTTGAAGGACTAAATTGTGATAAGATTATAAGAATGAAGAGAGAAGGGACCAGCCATGGAAATTTAGAGGAATAGGTAGTAACCAGTAAAGGATCCAAATGAATTTTTATCAATATGAGATGAACATGGAACATGTTATTAAAAGAAATTATAATAACCAAAATTATTTATAAAATCATCCACACTCAGAATTTGGGGGCAGGGGAAGAGGACTGAAACACTGAAAGGATTATTTGATTGTCATTACTGTCTAACAAAGAGTTTAAAGTTGGTTATCCTGAAAATAGGAGAAGTTGCACACACTGTTATGAGTCTCACATTGAGTAAAATAATATGCTTAATGTGATACCTAATCCGTGAGGCTCTCCCTCTCACCTAATGCACTAGTCTTTTGTATTGGGCTCTCATCACGTGCTCAAGTCATAACAATTGGTGTTTTCATTGAGCAAGTGATGGAAAGGGCTACCTTAAGTTGGATTAAGGTACAATAACGTATTGAATCCTGATAGGTGAGTGAAGCCACCAATGTAAGGGGAAAGGGCTACCATAGGATCAATATTGATAGAGTGAAGTTGTAGTCAACATCAACTCTTAAAGAGAGCGGCAATAATATATCTCTCATTGAGTAAAATAAGATGCTTAATGTAGTACTTAAGTCACGGGACTCTCCCAAGTGACCAAGTCCCACCTAATGGACTAGTCTTTTAGGTTGAATTCTCCTAATGTGCTTAAGTAATAATAATTTATACTAGTTTAATTCACTAACGCTAGGGAGGAGATCATGAGGCTAATAGGAAGATTTGTTTCTTAGGCACACTTTGGGGCATAAATTGGGCCAAACTTCATCTTATTGTTGGAGTTTTTGTTAAGATATTCCACATTGGTCAGGAATAGAGCCAAAATACTCCTTATAAGGACTGAGATAGTCCTCCTCCTATGAGCTAGTTTTTTAGAGTGAATTAGGCCCAAGTATCTTCACATTGTATCAGAACCTATTTAATTTGAACATTGGACTACCTACAGATGTTCAATCCTGTTGAATCCACCCATGCAGATATCTAGTCCTGCAAATTTCACGCAATAGATGTCCAGTTCTGAACATGAAAGAGTGTGTTAAGATGTTCCACATTAGTTAAGAATAGAGCCAGAATACTCCTTATAAGGACTAGAGTAGTCCTCCTCCTATGAGCTAGTTTTTAGGAGTGAGTTAAGCCTAAGTTTCTTAACAGTTTTCAGGCCCAAAAATCTGCAAAGATCCCATTGTGTTACAGCAGCATGTTCCCCAAAGCTCAATATCCCACATCCCCTGTTTTGTGTGCCTAAACTAGAGCTTTGGATTTCAATAATAGTTCCATAATTAGACAAGGTTGAAATTCAAGTGGGTGGTATTGTTAGAAGTTAGAAGAGAGTGAGGGGAAAGTTAGTTAAGGTAGTTACTGTAGAAAGTTAATGGAAAGGATTGGTTAATTAGGAGGAGTTTGTGAGATAAATAAATAAGATGAAGATGTGTGGGAAAGACATTCAAATTTATTATCATGTGTAAATTGATGTTTTGTTCTTTCTGAAAGGAAAAATCCTTTGTGAAGGGAAAACCTTGGAGGAGGAATCTCTCCTATTTTTTGTTCTTTCCTTTCAATTCAATAAAAACTTTCTTTTCTTTCCCATTTCTATTTGTGGTTTTGTAACACTCTTAGTTTACTCATTTTAGACTCAACAGATATAGACGAGTAAAGGCAAAGTATCAAGGAATCAGCTCTTTTGTTTTTTAATAATAAGAGTTCAAATCAGCAAGTTGGAATGCAATACAAGTTTGGCAAGTATGACCTTACATTTATATTATCTGCATGAACTTATTAAGAGTGTAACTTTGAATATATTTAAAATTTCTGAAAGATTTGTTGACCACAAAGCACGATAGTTCTGTTGTGCCTCTAGGACTCCAGGATTTTACAGCATAATCAGCAATTATATTAATCAGATAGATAAGAGAGAATGCAAAAAAAAGTGGAGATAAAATGAAAATCTATGTATGTCCAGAGTGTAACATATTAGATGTGAACAATATAAAATTTCTTATTATGAACAAGTCATGGGTGCATGTAATGTGCTTGAATATTTAGCCCACAGACAGGATACCTTAGCTTGTTCACCCAGACAACAGGATCACAAGGCTCAGAAATCTGCCTCCATCTAACAGCTAATGAGTAAACATCATGCCATGACAATATACGGCTGGATGATCTATCATCTATAATTCCAGGTGAAGATGTTTCTGAGGTACTGCTTGTGCTACAACCAGCACCGCCTCTATTTTGACTGGGGGTATTAATTCTTTCCCTTCTCCTGGCCCTTCTTCCATTTTTTGAGTTGCCTTTACCAGAATATTTCCATTCAGCATGCATAGCACGCCAAGCCTTTGAGACCTTTTGTGCAATTTCAATAGCAGCAAGTCCAGCCATACGATGCTGATAATAAGGAAATATTAACATATAGATATCAACAGGTTAAAAAGATGATAGTATCAAGAAAAATGAGAATAAACCACGGCTGTTGGTAGGACGTAGGATGCAAGTCACTTTAAATTGAAAGCATGTAGAAATGAAAAATGCATCACAACTCAGAGATATCTAGAATAAAGTGTACAGAAAATAATCTAGCTACAAATATATATATATATATATATATATATATATATATATATATATATATATATATATATATATATATGTGCAATCCATGGCTTTAAAACTATTTGAAAGCCAAATAAATGCTACAATTTTATGAAAACCGTGTGCTTTTACTTTGGGAAATACATTTAAAAATGAATGTTTTCTTCAATAGAAATTTTTCAAGGGGAAAAGGCTTGACTTGTTTAGAAGTTATGGTATTAAAACCAGAAAACTGACATCCCTTGTTACCTTTTTATAAATTTATTCAATCATTAAGCACAATTATTTCTGTCACCTCAAAATAAAATAAAATAAAAGCCAAACATTGCTTGTATTAGTCACCTAGAAGTAGATAGAAATAATGTTTTCTATTTTACAACATGATACAAACAAGGATCATCAGATTTTTAGATGCAACAAAATCCTTTTCTATGTCTATCAGAGCACAAGTAAGCACAAGTCTAATTTAGCAAACCAAAGACTACCGAGAAATAAAAGTGGCCCTTGACAGAAAACGGATTTGTTGACAAAAGAAGAGAAATGACAACAATCAATAATCCACAAGATATTGAAGATCAGAAAACCAGAAATAGCTTTACCTGACGTCTATTAGGTAGGAATCCTGGACAATCATACTGGATTTTTTTGCCAATGGAATCTGCAGCCAGTAGAAGAGTAGCCTTCTGCTTTGTAATAGTAAATTCTTGCTTTCTAAGCTTTTCCTTTCTTAAAGACTCACGTAAAGGAGGTTGCCTGAAAACCTTCTCACATACATTCTTTGGGTGCAATCTCTTGCACCAGTACTCCTGAATATAATGAAGATACAAATGAATATAATAGAAATGGAAACTCTTGCTTTACAAAATGTGAATAACCAAGAATCTGATGACATGATTTAAAACCTAATTGCTAAACATCCTTTAAACCCATGATAAATTCCCTATAGGGTATAGGCATACTCATGAAAATATTATATTTCCTTTTATTCTTCCAAATTTTGTGGTAAGTGATCTACTTTACACATGACCAGAATCACCACATAGGAACTGAGAAATCCTAAACTCAAGTAAACAGAGTTTTCCAATTCACACCTATGAATTAAGAAAGATGAGAAGTATCAAGGAGAGGTAGACTTGTTTTCATAAATTTTACCTTAAAAAGTGCATCAATATCCCCATCAATATCAAACCAGCAAAAGTCGCTGTTAAATTTTGAGGCTGTGTACAGAGCAAGCTCTTTCTGCAAAAGAAAAAAGGGTTGAAGCACATCATAGAAGTCTCTTAACAAATGAAACTTAATAAGTACCACATTAATTCCGAGAGCACCAATGGCACATAAGTCCATCAGCAGAATTTTAGCACTAAAAGAATGTACAGAACTGGTTAGTTATATGTAGCTGAATCAAGGGAAGACAAGTCTTACAAGTGTGTTTCAATGTTGACATAACTAAATAACATGAGGAACTAAAGTAGAAGAGAACAGCTCTCTTCCAAAACGTGACAACAAAATGACTAGTCACTGCTCAATGCTGTCAATTTTGCGTCACTGTTAGTAGATGTTTTAGTGTAGAAGGAAATTTATTTATGCTCCTTTTGATTAGTAGAGTAGTTTTTTTTTTTTTTTTTTTGGTGGGGGGGTGGACAGACAAGAATAGTATGTTTCAATAAAACAAGACCTGATAAAAGGCAAGGCACTGGAGCACAAACTTGTCCATCGAGTCCAATTCCAAATCCAGTGCAGCATCATAATCCTTAACCTGAGACCATTAAATGAAGTTGTAGCATCACAAATGCAAACCAAGTGTTGCACCCCCAAAATTAAATCTAGAAATATCATACTGCTTCTTTGTATTGTCCAACAGCATGGTAGCAGGAAGCTCGTAAATAGAAGCATTCAACATTGGTGCTGTCAATGCTCAACCCCATTGTCAAATCCTTGATAGCCTTCCTGTCACATTCAAACCCAAGTTAAATTAGAAACAAAATAAAGTAATGGAACATACCAAGGTAAAAATCTTAACACTAATGTCTGGTGGGAAAATTTTAAAAGCAATTTACATGGACCTTAGGTGCTATTAGAAATTCAAACAACAAATTATTATACTTATACCAGTATCCTCATTGTCCAATAATTCATATAAAATTTATCTCTCTAAAATCCTTGATGGACAAAAATACCAGTTGCTGATCATTTAACTCCCCTAAAAATTAGTAATCAGAAATTATTTATGACTTCAGGAATGCTCAATCCAAAAATAAATCTTCCTCAATATGCTAGTTCTCTAGTACAAACCTAACTTTACAAATACAAAATGACCCTCCTGATGATTCCATTTCAATCATTATAATTATTATGAAAAACAGCAAGTAATCTAAAACCAGTATTATCAACTTTTTTTTTTCTTCTTCTACCATCCATATATGTTTCCATAAGTCCAGAATTGTTTGTCAGCATGCTACTACATCTTAAAGATGTCCAAACTAGTATTCATGAACCAAATACTCAAGACTTGTGACAAGTAAGAAACAGTCACTTAAAATAAATATTCAACTTCTTCAATTGATCAGAGAGTATGGTTTGTACAAATACCTGTGCTCACCCATTGCATGGAATAGAAGGCCACGCAAATGATAAGCTCTTGCAAACCTGACATCAAAATGTAAAAGCAATCAGCCCTAAAGTCAACAGGCACAAAGTACATCAAGTGAATCCTCATATGAGTAATACAGTTCATTCACAACATTTACCTCCCATCAATTTGTAGCATCTCATTTAGACATTCCTGTGCTTTTGTTGGCATTGCTAAATCTTGATAGAACTGCACAAAATCCACACATTCAGAACAATATTACCAATCAAAATCATCCAACAAAATAGCTTTAAGCATATAACTGATAATCAGGCAGAACAGTGGCAGCACACTTAATAGCTATTAACTAATGACTGCTAGATCTTTTGATATAACTGCCAAATACACATTCAGACCAAAGCTATTAACCTATGAGTGCTACATCTTTGATAAAACTATCAAATACAAATTCAGAAAAAAGCTACAAGTAAAATATCTAACAGAAGAGCTTTAATCCTATAAATAAAAGGCCAAAAATTGTAGTCTACTACATAAATAAGCCTATAATTCAATTAAAAAATGTAGATGTGAACTGATCTGATATGACATGGATACTTAATGTCCAGTTGAATAAGTAAATTAGATTACAAGCAGAAGGAAATACCATCGATGAAAGTAGGGAAGCAAGATATGAGTAGATATAACAGAGAGCATTCAAGAATATAACTAAACATATTTGAAGTATACGTTAATTTCCTTAACATAGTCAAACTATCAGTGGAGTACCAACACAGGTGAACAGATACCTGAGTCAGATGTGCCCATCCTTCAAGGAAATTTCTGTCAAGGTGAAGTGATTTCAGATGTGCTTCCTCAGCTTTCTTATATTCACCAATCGAAGATAATGCTAAACCCTGTAAAGTCATTTTGTTCAGTGAAAGAATGAAGATCCTTTCATAAGGAGATCAGTAAACTTCTTTCCAACATCAAAAGTCCAAAATCAATGAGGAATCAAATATTAAGACACAAGGCCCACCAAATATGTGTAGGCAGACTTATTATCCTTATCTAGCCTCACACAAGCTGAAAGGTCATTAACAGCTGCACCAAATTCTTTAAATTTGAAATTGACAATTCCTGCATTGAATTTTATGAAAAGCATACACTAATTAGGAACAGGATCTAAACAAGAATGTCAGTTCAATGTTAGCATCATATGCATTCAGCACCAAAGTGACCAAACTCCCTAGATTTGATATTAACAATGATTTCTAGACAAAATGTCAATATTAAGGATAATCACGCATTCACACAAGAAATAAACAAAAAGGAACTGTGTCCAAAAGGAAATGGAGAGAGGGAGATGAATATAATTATAGTAAGTACTTAGTCTCCTTAGTACTAGTAGAATTCCTTAGGTGACTGCACTCCATCAAAACCCATAACGTTCCCATTAAAATACTCCATAACAAATCAGCAGACTTGAAAATTAGAGCCACAATACAAAAATTCTACCTGAGTCATCTTCATTTTAGTTGAAGCCACTAGACTAAATTTTGATTTATGAATAAACAGATAAACCTCCAGAATGAAAAATATTAATGCATATAATATGAACATGCACTATTTTTCAACACAACCCACTTCTCCACTGCCTTCTCTCTTAGGTGCCCCTCTCCATCCCTTTTTATTTAGCATACTTCCTTATGGCTTCTAATGGTTCCCTTTCAGACTGGTGCTGCAGTAACCTTTACAAACATCCTGCTGATTCCATATGAAAAATTGACTAGAACAGCCAACTTCCTTATGGCTTCTAACGGTTCGCTTTCGGACTGGTTCTGCAGTAACCTTTATGAACATCCTGCTGAATCTATATGAAAAATTGACTAGGACAGCCAATTACAGCACCTGGGGTGTTGCCGTCCAGTTGTGGTTTCAAAAGTTCAAGATTGAGAAGACTACTTGACACAACAGGCCAAGGATATTCTCAACAAGGATCAAGCCCACTGGAAGCAAATCAATGTTTCTTTGTGCAGTGCTTCAGGTTTTCCATTGCCCCTAAAGTCTAGCCACAATACTTGGCTTTTAAAACTTGCTATGTTGGGTGGACCAAAGCCAAGGTCTATTTCAATGACATTCATTGTCTCTACAGTGTGGTTTCCAATCTGATTGCCATGAAGTTGGAAAACATGGATGTGCAGACCTATCTTGGTGACCTTGATCATTTAATTGCTAATATTGATACCCCCATGCCATTTGCCAGTGATGCAGCAATTCATCTTTCCATGCGGCAAGTTTTTCATGGTACTTGGCAATGCCAGTCTTCTGCCTAAGGTTGACACAATATGCAAGAAAATTTTATCAAGGACTATTGTTCCCTCCTTTGACAGTTATGAACAACTGTTGTGTCTCTTCTTTCCTCATGCCTTTGACCACTACTCCATCCCTCCTCCTGCTGATTCATCCAATCTTGTCTTCCACTATCCTTGTCATGGTGGACAAAGTGGAGACCATAGTGGTCATCATCGAGGTTCTCACTACCTCTATTGCCAGCATTATGACCATATTGAAGCTAATTGTTGTACCAAGGCTAGACAACAGCTTAAGCTTGCTAATGTTGCTCATGTCACTGCACTTGGCACTGCTGAGGACATTACTATTTCTGCAGTTGACTATCATGATTTCCTCCAATTCAAGGTTTCCCACAAACCCATCTCACCTGTCACTGTCATTGCTCAGTGTGATGATTCTGTAGCATTAGTTTCACAGTCCTCTCTAGGTCCTTGTATCCTTGACTCTATTGCTTTTGATTATGTCATATGTCTGGAAAAAAATTACTTTTTTCTCATTTATCTTATTTGAATTAACTTCCTTCTTTCACCTCTTCAAACAAAAGTACGAGGCATTAGTCAAACATATCCTCTTCTCAATCTTTCTTTAAACTATATGCTTTGTCTTTGGGAATCCTTTTAATTTAATATTCATTAGCAATTTACTCGTACCCTCCATTACTCTTTATTATTTTCTAATAACTCTATTCTTGTCCAGGATAAACATTTTGCACAGACAATTGGAGCATGACATGAGTCTAGACGATAAATTGCATTAGTGCTTAGCTCATCCTAATACTAATAAATTGCATCTTTTGGTCGCTAGTTTCTCCCCACTTATTCCAATAGTTAAAATTGGGAGACATCTGAAACTTAATCAAGCTGCACTTCATATTTCATCAAACCCTAAACATGTTCACTTTAATTATCACTGCTTTTAGAAGCTTTGTAAGAGAAAAAGTTCTTTCAAAAGATATTACAACTAATTTTGTTCATTTTAATGATCAATGAATGGACCAATATGTTAGCTAAATCCCTTAGAGACTCTGCTGTTAACTACATTTGTAACAAGCTTTGTTTATATGACACATGCTCCAGCTTGAGGGAGAGTATTAGAAAACATATTTATTATGTGTTTTCCAGTGCAGTATTTTTTAAAAAAATCAGTACTATAATTTTCATGTTTCAAATGCTCAATCTTGAGTGTAAGGGGGGGTGGTGTTCAAGTTCCACATCAATTACAAATATGGTCAAATAAGAGCTTATAAAAGTTAAGGCAACCCTCACTCTATAACTAGCTTTTGGGATTAAGCCTTTGCCGAAATTTAAGAATTGCACAAAAACTTAGATAAGTATTTAAGTTACTTCATCTCCCTAATAATTCCGTGCACACACAAAAAAAAGGATTTTAAGTAATTCCAAATGTGTTAATTCACCATCTGCTTCTAACAAAAGAAAATATATGCTTGCACAAGCTATATTAACTATTAAAGGGTAAAGAATACAATCATGCCTCAGAAAACTAATCTAGTTTCTCCATTTGAATTTCTAGAAATTAGCACAAGATATATGCACCCACCATTGCAGCAAACAAAGAAAGCGAAAGCAAAACAAAGGCATAATTAATGATTCCAGCATAAATCAATTATCAAAACAACAAAATCAGTAGAAGACAGGCTACCTCTCTCATGTAAAATATCTGCTGTGTCAGGTTCAAACTCTAATGCCTTGGTCAAGTCTTCAATAGCCTGACATCCACATATCAAAAGAAGGGGAAACAGATGTTACATTTACAGGTTGATATTTGTGGAAAAAATATATACACCAATAGGAAGTGAAGCATCACAGTTGACTCAGTTGACAGAACCATATGAAATAAGATCTTGTAGGTCACACGTAATTAGAGATTTCAATAACATTGGACCTAGCAAGATAAAAGACCACAAAGTTCTTGATAACCACATTAGTTTAGCACCAAAATAATTAAGTTTTATAGCATATAATTATAACCCTAAAGCCTTATGTGGCAATGCTCAAATACTACTTTAACCAAACTTTGCGTTAAAACAACAACAACCAAGCTTTATTCGATTAAGTGAAGTCAATTACATGGATCACATAACACAATTGAGCCTGGTCAAAAACCAAGGGATCTAAGAATTAGGTTGGTCATGCTCACCTCAATAAACTCTCCCAAGGCTGCCCTGGCCTGACCTCTCCGTTTCCATGCCTCACCAGCCAATGGATTAAATTGTATAGCCTAATATATACAGCATGTAAGCTACTTACACAGAGAAGAAAAATCAAATCTCTATATAGACTTGTTAGATAGTGTTCATTTAAGTACCTTTGTAAAATCAACTATGGCAGAATCAAGTTCTCTCTGGAATGCATATGCTGTACCTCTTCCAATCAGTGCCTCGGGATATGCAGGGTCCTTTTTCAGTATCTGCATAAATGATGATGAAAGGATACAGTAAGTTATTTAATAGTAGGGGGAAAAGAAGAGAAGATAGAAAAAACATCAAAAGAAGAAGCCATGAGTATCACCACTGAGGAAATTTTTTTACCTGGTCAAAAATGGATATGGCATGAGCATATTTTCCTTCATTAACCTGCAAAGGAACCATAATATCAAATATGCTCAAACAAAGAAATACAAACACCAAGTTATTTAATATTGCTTATTCTAGTAAAAGCATGAAAACAAACCTCTGCTATACCCCTTGAGAGTCGAAAATCTACAGTTACAGAATTTGTCTTTGAAATCCGAGCAATGCAGAACTTCTTATTTTTCTTTGCTTCATCTTTTCTTTCATTAGGAAAAATAAACTTACTACGTGGGTTTCTAAAAGTCTCAGTCATGTTAACAGAGTCAGTACTATTGGTAGATACTTTATCACACGATTCTGAGGCATCACTTGAGTCATTACAAGATTCAGAATTGTAACTAAGTGTGTCAATAACATCAGGGCTCCCATTCACTTGGCCATCAGATTTATTAGACTCCCTATCTTCATCATGCAATTCATTTTTTGAGTCAAAGTTATCAGTAGACTTCAGGCATATCTCAGATTTATCACTAGCATTGCCACATAAATCAGCTTGATTGCTCAACCTATCTTGATTCTTATGAGTTTCAACCGAGTTCCCATTACCCTGAGAATTTGATGCAGATTGTGGCAGGGATGACCCATGGGTTTCGCACTGTGCATTGTTGCTATGCTTCACTGTCGTCATAAGCTCTTCAAGCTCTAGTAGCTGTTTCAAATCTGCAGACTGATGCAGAGCATGTTCATAGCCTTGCTCCCATACCAATAGAGCATCCGCTTTCCTTCCCAACTCAGAGAGCGCACAACCTGTACAACAGAATAGACTACCACTAAGTCCAAAAGACAGAAATATATTGCGCGTGAGAAAATTTTGTTTGAACCTTCAGCATAAACAAAAGGATCATGCGACACTAATCTATAAACAGCATGACCAAGTGCATGTTTGGTTCAGCTTATTTTAAAGAAATAATCACTAAATTTTTGGCAGATTTTCTGAGAAAGCTTTGAAAAAATAAACCAACCAGATCCATTATACAACAATTCCAACACAATCGTTCTCGTTTTTAAAGTATGATCATTATTAAACTAATTTATCTATTTAACTGATCACTGGAAATAAATAGCATATCTGAAAAAGCCCACGGGACATAGTCAGATAAAGTCAACAGTGACAGTCAATGTCCAGGCATAGCACACAAGGAAAACATGCTTTACATCGTATCTAGTTCAATTACCAATCTCAGAGAAGCATGCAATTGAAATAAGTAAGAAATCCTAATTTCAATCACAGCAAAGACGGAACAAAAAAAATTGTGAAAGAAGAAAAATAGACGAATGAATTTGACAGGGGAGAGGAAAACCTTTGAGAATATAAGCTTGAAGAACCATAGGATCAAGTTGAAGCGCTCTGTCGCAATCCTTAATCACGTGCTTATGAAGCTCTAGTTTGCTGTAACAGAAGGCTCGGTTGCTGAAAGCAACAATGAATCAGAATAAGATCGCGCGTAAAAATTCACGAGCCAGAAGCATACATGTATATGCAAACCATTCGACCATAATCATTAATCAATGAAAGGAAAAAAGGAAGCGAAATACTCACCAAATGTCTCGGATTGCACCGGACTGAGAAATGAGCGAATCGAGGATTCGAATGGCTTTGGACCAGTCTCTCGAGGCGCAGAGCCTGGCCAACTCGGCTCGCTCGGAGATAGCGGGAGCCATGGGTCACGTGAGGTGCACGGATCGGTGACACTTTTTCTTCTTCGCTTGCTTCGGGGTTTCAATTTGAACGGGGTCTGATGAAAGAAAATTTTGGGGCTGAAATGCACTTGTACAGTGATGAAACACAGAAGATTAAAGAGTGCTGTTGAGTTTGGGAACTTGTTGCTTAGGACTTTGAGAGAGAAAGAAGGAGACTGCCTAAAGAGTAACGGTGATTCGAACGACCGGTCACGTGCACGGCACAAACGCGTCAAATCCACCCAAGTTAACCTGAGTACTGAATACTGATACACCATTTCTATTTCTAGGGTGTGTTTCAAGAACATTAAATGCTTATTTAATATTTATTTTATTATTAATAAATGAGTAAGACTAGCTATGTATTTTTTAACGTCTTCTTTTTAATATATTTATGAATGAAAAACTGTAACATTCATATAATTTTTAATAATTTTATTTAATAATTAAAAATAGTATGTTGCTAACATTTTTTTAATAAATTTATATCATCATAAATTAAATTATAAAATTTATTGATATGAATTAAAATAATTTATAAAATATAAAAATTATAAAGTATTTTTATAAATTTTTATAAAATTCATTTAAATATATCCATAATTGTATAAGTAATTAATAGTGTATTTAAAGTCATTAAAATATCACATTATTTTATTTATTTTATTGTAACATAATTTAATAAGAAAAACTATGTCAGTTATTTATTTTTAATTAAAGTATTTTTTAATAAAAACTTTGGTTTAAGATAACAGTTAAATCGTAAGTTTTGTATAAAAATTAAAAAAATTATATTAAATATTAGCATAAACTTACTTATTTAATAATTTTTAAAATATAAATTATAGTACCTTAAACTCATTTAAAATAAAATTTTTATAAAATGAAGTATATTAAAATTCAACTTTACAACACATTCATTCAATACAATCAAACATTGTTTAAAGTTAAGTTATGATAACAAGTGAAAATATTTTGTATTTTAAGAACTCAAAATTTTTTATCTGTATTTTAAAAATTTATGTGTTGTAAAATATAATTATTAAAATTATTTGTTGCTTCTTATATAGCTCTGTTTATTAAAAGTTATAAAGTTTTTTTTTACACTTTTAATAAAAAAATTTATTCAATAAAAATATGTAATTTAAATTAATATATATATATATATATATATCATATTTATAATTTAAATTTATTAAAATAAATTATACTTAATTTTTAAGTAGTTTAGGGTTTAGAGTTTGTCAAATACTTAGTTGAGGGCACTTCATATGTTATTTTACTATTTTTACTTTTTAATTATTTAAAAAGAATGAATTTATAATATAAATAAAAAGTATATTAATATTTTAAAAATTTAAACTATCTCTTAAAAGAATTTGATTCTAAAGATTTAAAAGGAAATTATTTTTTAATTTTTTTAAAGAATATAATTGTTAAAACGGGTTAATTTGACTCTTGAGCTAGAAAACGAAATCAATGAGTTAAAATAAAATAAAGTAGACATATGAAAGATGCAATGAGTAAAACATGTAGAAACATAATAGGGTTAAAAGAGACAAACATAACAACAACCAAAAACAAAGAGCAAAAAAAAAGTAACAAACAGAAACGTTTGATCAATAAAAATATATTTTTAATTAAAGTTAAAAATATATGTATTCGATCAGCTACAGGTTTATGCTTTTAGATTTATTATGAAATATATTTTACTAAACTTGAATTACAGGTATGTATATATAGTTACCTTGGCCATGGAAGGCCAAGAACAAAGTTCAGCCATCTCTGGAATTATAAGTGCAAGATTATTTCGGCTTTTTTGCCCTTTTGAAATTAATTTTAAAAGAAATTATCAAAATAAGACTTTATGGAAACAAATTCTCGATCTGGAGTTGGCAGGTGACGTGGTAAGAGAATCGTCCATAACAGGGACGACACACATGATGACGTGGCGAACTATGAGAGTGTCGTCCCATTAGTAACCGACACTCATGAGAGTGTCGTCCCATGATTAGCCAACACTCATGAGATGTTGACACGTGTTGTTTAATAAACTTGTGTCATCTATTTTGAGACGATTTTAGTAGCGTCCACAACAAAGATGACTCTAGTGCCGTCCAACCATACCCGATTTTAATATAACTGGTGGATAAAAATTTTGATACATTCTTTTGTCCAACTTTAAATGTGTATAAATACGAAACTTTTAAATTATAACCATGGAGTTGGAGATCGAGTAGGCTGGAGAAGAAATTGCAACCAGATAGGCTGGAGAAGAAATTGCAACTAGGCAATAAGGTTAGATTTTTTTAAGCATTATAAATATATAATTTTTTTATTGGCTATTAAGAATTTATATTTCAAATAATAATATTTATTTTATATTTGGATAATATTTTAAGTGTTAATGTTGTAATATAATTTTTTTTGTTATGTTTGAAAATAAGACAGATAAAATATAATGTTAAAAAATAAAGATTTAAATATTTGTAATTACAAATAAATTTTTAAATATAATTTTATTATATTATAAATAAATTTTTAAATAAGCTTGGCTTATTTTTAATGCATGATAAATGAAATTGTTGTTATATTATATTCAAATGGTAGAATATATGAAGGAAATGAGGGTATAATTTTTGAAGGAGAGAAAAAGATGATTAAGATAGAACGTCACACTTGAGATGTTTAAAAGAAAGATACATACAAAATTGAAATTGTCTAGTTGTCACGTAATTTCTAGATTAATTTCACGAATTTTAGTTTGGACAAATGGTTGATACCATACAACTCTGGATGTATGTGACGATGAAAACATAGATTGGATGATAAGTACGTGTCAATAATTACATCATAGGAATGTAGTTGAGATATATGTGGATGTTACGGTCGGTGAAACATCTTCTGTTGTGCCACGTCCGTTAGAAGTGAATTTATCACTCTCACTCAATCATAGAAGTGATAATAACGATGATGATTATGCAACAAGAGAAAGTAATATGAAGTTGATGATTTTAAATTTTTAAAATTGATACTGCAAATACTATTAATAATATAAGTTTACAATGTACGATCTACAGATGAAGATGATGAATATGAAGATGAAGAAGATATTTCATTAAATAATTTTTCTGATATTGAGACAGATGATTATTGTGATTCAATGATCAATATGGAGGGTATTGTAAGAGTTAGTTCAATGCAACAACAACATGGAGGTATGATTTTAGATAATAATTTAAAAGATATATTTTCATAACTTATATTTATAATACTGTATAAATTGTTAATGAGGGTATAAATTTGACGGATGAATTGTTGTAATGCAGAAACTACATTGCCTTTTTGGAATATAACCCCACATTATAGTCATATTAATTGGGAACACCCTGATAAAAAATTAGAGTGCAATCATGGAAAGAAGGAGATGCATTATATGTAGGACAACTATTTGACACTAAAGAAGATGTAAGAATGGCTATAAAACATTATGCCATGAGGAAACATCAAACTTTTTTTGTGATCGAGTCAAAAGCAACATGTGTTGTGAAGTGTGTCAATCACAATAGTGGATGTCCCTGGAGAGTTCGAGCATCGTTGCCAAAAAATGTAGACAAGTGGAAAATTATAAAGTGGGGTGGTGCTCATACGTGCGTACATGCTTCAATCTCTCAAGACCACCAAAAGTTGGATTCCAAATTTATTTGCTCATGCATTCTTGGTATGTCAAATGTTATATTAAATTTTATTATTTTGAAATAGAAAAAATATACTAATTTTCATCCTATTACATCCCAACAAATTTAAAAACTCCTTCATTATATGAGATGCAGGTATGGTGAAAGAAAAACCATCAGTGCCTATTTCGTTAATTCAAGAGAGAATTAGTGGTCAATTTGGATATTCAATTTCGTACAAGAAGGCATGAAAAGCAAAACAAAAAGCAATAGTTACTGTATTTGGTGATTGGGACGAATCTTATGTTGCATTGCCAAGATGGCTAGAGTACATGCAATTACATGCTCCTGTATCTGTATACAAAATTGAAACAAATGATTATGTTGAAGGACGTACCGTGGATAATAGATATCGAGTTTTTCATCGGTTGTATTAGTCGTTCAAGCAATGCCATGAAGCTTTCAACTTTTGTAAACCTATAATACAGGTAGATGGAACATTTTTGTACGGTAAGTACCAACAAACTTTGATAATTGCTACGACTCAAGATGGAAACAACTGTGTGCTTCCCATTGCATTTACCATTGTCAAAGGAGAAACCTTATCTACATGGAAATGGTTTTTAGCCATGATTCGTATACATATGACAAATAAGGCAGGGCTATGTTTGATCTCAGATCGACATCAAAGTATAAAAGGTGCAGTGTCTAACCCACATCTAGGTCGACAACCACTAGATGCTTATCATGTTTATTGCATTCGTCACATTGCAAGCAAATTCAATCGATGATTCAAAAATACTTGAAGAAAAAACTAATTTAATTAAGTACGTATTCTTCACATTTGATTCATTTAAGTTTTAATAGATTTTGAATATTTAACCTTTACATTCTACCTTTCATCGTTAAATGCAGGATATACACCATCAAAGGGTATTTTTGAATCTAAGCTTAATACGTTTCGATCACAATCACCTGAAATTCAGACTTGGATAGATAATATATCAAAGGAAAAGTGGAGCTTGGCTTATAATGATGAAGGACATCGTTATCGACACATGACTACTAATTTGTCTGAGTTTGTAAATAAAGTTTTGAAAGGGGCAAAAAATCTTCCTATTACTGCCTTGGTAAAAGCTACGTATGCTCGATTAGTAGAATATTTTGTGAAGCATGATGAAACCGCAATGCATGAGGTTAATAATGGAGGAAGATACAGTCAGAAACTAATGGAAGCTATGGAAATAAATCAACAAGAAGCATCCTCACATCAAGTTCAGCGGTATGACATACAAAGAACAAGGTTTGAGGTTGAAGAGGCTTTTAATCCAGTGACACAAAGAGGTGATCATAAGTGGACAGTCATTATCCACACGTTATTGTGAATGCAGGAAATTTAAGGCATTCTGATATCCATGCTCATATGTTATAGTTGTTTGTACTCATATGAGTATAGACTTTTGGCAATATGTGGATCATGTTTATACTTTACAGTATGTTGTGAACGCATATTCATCTCAGTGGTGGCCTCTTGGAAATGAAAATAATATTTTACAAAATAATGAGTGGAAGTTAGTACCA